GATGCAATATATTCTCGTAAAGAAAAATATGTCTTGACTGCGAAACGGCTACGGCGAAATGGCGACAGCGAATGGTGGCATTCCTATTATTTGTTGCTTAAAATGTTGAATTAATTATCAAACTCAAGATTACTATACTATAAAGTTTGATGTTCCCTCCAGAAATATTTAAGCTTATAATGTCACTGACTCAAAGTCTCCTCTAAAGCAACTACTGCATTGTGAAACTAAATGTGATCGTAACTTAATGTTTCTCCCATTTCTGTAAGTCAAGTGACGTCACTGAATTCAACTGCTGAAAAGAGAATAATCTTGTTTTCTATTGACATCTGGTAAGTTTGATGTTCCTTCCAGAAATATTTAAGCTTATGATGTCACTGACTCAAAGTCTCCTCTAAAGCAACTACTGCATTGTGAAACTAAATGTGATCGTAACTTAATGTTTTTCCCATTTCTGTAAGTCAAGTGACGTCACTGAATTCGACTGCTGAAAAGAGCACAATCTTGTTTCTTAATGACATCTGGTAAGCTGTTGGAGCACTTCGAGCATTCGGAATATCAAATAATTTGCAGCATGCTCGCTGCATCAAAATAACAGAGTGTTGATTTCAAGTACAACTGAAAAATTATTCTTCTTTACTTGCCGGTGAATCTTTTCGTCGTAAAATTTCCAGTTTGGGTTTCTAAAGAAATAAAATAAATAATAATAAATAAAGATGAAAGTTATTTGCTGTTTAAATAATTTCATGCGCCCCTTATATGTGATTTACTTTATTTATATGATGATAAGATCTGGCCTTATCTACGTACAGATAAAGTATACAGTTATCACAACCCTAATTGGTGAATTTTCCGCTGTCCTATAAGGGCCACAGAGGATAGGGAGAAGGTGTAAAGTAGCCTTTATTAATTCAATTAAAGTTTAACAGACGGCACCAACTTGTGCTTACAGAAGCAAATAGCTTTGACTTTAAATCAAAGATAATGGATGAACGAAAACTAATGAAATCTGACATCGCAGTATAACTAGCGCGCAAGTTGGTTGTGACCGAAGTCGGTGTAAACAAGGTCTAATGCGAGAATAACTCAACACCGCAGAATACTGATCTCTAGAGAATCAAGTTATTAATGTGACCTTCTAGAAGGCAGATCATGCTCTCATTTCACACACCAAAACCTTCCTTTAAATATACTTCCTTCTTTCTACCTCATTTGAAATCACGTGAACTAGAAATTTACATTCTGGCGGAGAAATGAAAACTAGGCTGATAGAATAGGAAGTAAACTTACAATAACTAGCTAGAAACTTAAATGCCCCCCTTCTCAGCATGCCTTCGTGGTGTAGCGGTCATCACGCTAGGCGCTTATTCGAGAGGTCCGTGGTTCGAGTCCTGGCGAAATCATTGCTAATTTTTCATTTCTCCTCCTTTCAAATAACATATTAATGTCTGTACAATGTTATTATGGTTGTCTCTTATTAGATACCGTAATCCTTTCGCTTTGTAAATTTAAATATATTTTATGCGATTGATGCCAAACTTGTTATTAGAAATGGTATTGGAATTTTAGTTATTATTATGGTCACACGAATATTAGCTGGCTTTTAGTGCAGACCGCGACTGCAGATCTTGACGCGAAATCGATAAAAACCCAGTTTGCACATAGAATCACTAGCAAGCAGGTGTTTAATCTTTATTTTTTCTTTATTTCAGTGAAACTTTTCGGCGTTTCTAAATGAAGGACATTCTAAAATGAAAAACAACTCATTTGCCACGTTGCGAACACCGTATTTAAAGACTGAGAAGCTAACAGATGATAATTCAAGAACGTTAAATATTCTAAAATTCAACGTTCATTTATAGCAACATATTCTATATGGCATTATCAAAAATTGCATGTGTAAGTACACTAATGTCCATAAATTAAGGATAATACAAAATCAGGCAAAGGAAGAGTTAGAAGCAAAACAAATCTGACTTACTTGTAAAGCTTATTTATTAAACAAAAGGTAAAGAGCAAAAAACGATGCTATATGTTTGATATTATTAAAAAAATTAGCGATTTTTTCTCCCTGGAGCAAATTACAAAAAAAAAACATTTACAAAAAACCAATATTACATGATTGGTATGATCGTTAATACATTGTATGTCTCCCAGACGATGCAATACAGCCCGTACAACGCCTAGGCATGCTGACTATCAAATTATCGATCTGATCTTGGGGAATATTACACCACTCAAAACGCAGTGCTCTCCGAAGTTCCGATAGACATGTAGGAGGAGGATGACGGGCTGCAACTCGTCGGCCAAGCATGTCCCACACGTGCTCTACTGGATTCAAGTGCGGTGAGAATGCTGGCCAGTCCATACGGGTGATATCCTCCGATTGAAGGCATTCGCTTACGATGTTTGCACGGTGAGGACGGGGCGTTGTCATCCATAAACACAAATTGTGCGCCCATGGCGCTCCGAAACAAGCGTACATGTTGTTCCAGAATGACGTCCCGATAGATTTGGCTTGTCATGGTTGCAATTTGAACATCCAGGTCAATTCTGGAACCCAGAATAATTACACCCCAAACGAGCACTCTTGCACCACCGTACCGGTGTCATTCAATGATGTTTTCTTGGTGGGTAACGGGTACTGGAGCCCTCCATATGAACGTCCGGCGAGAATCAGACTGCAAGCTAAACCTGGACTCGTCTGAAAACATCACACAAGCCCACTGTTGTGGTGTCTACACTGCATGCTCTCTACTCGAGGCTAACCTCAGGCGACAGTGAGTTGCAGTAAGTGGAACGCATCTGACAGGTCTACGAGCATATAGACCAATCTGTCCTAAGCGTCTGCACACGGTCTGCCTTGAAATTGTCGTACCAGTGGCTGAAGAGAGCTGACGAGACAGGTCTGAGGCTGTGCTCCGCCTGTTTCTTTTGGCAGTAACTTCATTCGACGTTGTAACTCTGGGGCGACCTGTGATGTAACGTCTACTCACATTACCATCATCTTGGAATCGTTGCCAAAGTCTGAAGATGACACTCTGGGCAATTCCAAGTTCGTCTGATACTTCCAGTTGGGTACGCCCACATTCCAGACGGCTGATAATTCTACCACGTTAAAAAATCATCCAAATGCGTCCTTTGTGTCATAACTATTCGGTTATTGCACTGAAATGCTTATAAAGCGCCTGCGAACAATTTTACTTCCTTGCCTGTATTCCTTATATATCACTCTCGTCATTGTGACGTACCATCGGTGTTATCTGGTTACTTCCTGAAATTTGCATATGATTCTTGAAGATGTGTGTAGTGATTTTACAGGTGATATATTTATTTTAGAGTTCAATTTCTGCGTGACTCCGAATTATCCTTAATTTATGGACATGAGTGTATATCTCCTAGTAGTGCAATTTCAAATAACTAGCTCTGGTCAAATGAAAAGGTGAGGAAGATGCTAAGAATTTCTTTCATCAAGATATGGAATAGGCTATCATTTTTAACTAATTTTCTCCTTAGCAAATAATACGCGAGAGGCAGAGGTTCTTGGCGTCACGCAGCAAAGAATGGCATAATAGTGAGTTGCGAGTAGGTGTGTTTGACGAGTGTGATGCTTGAAAACGGCTTCCAAATTCAAAGTAAATTTCGTGTTAGAGGAAGAAACTTGCCGTAGTTGGAAAAAAGAAGAAGAAAAAGAAAGAAAGAAAAACATAAAAAGTGCATTTCTCTCAAACCTCCTCATGAGTTGCATTCAGAGTTGCAAAAACCTGTTTGATAACGCAAGATCCCCACCAATCAAATTTAAACTTACAGCTGAATTCATTGAATATATGGATGAATGCGTTAAGGTGGATCAGAAACAAAAATGTGCGATTAAAAAAATCGTTTTCAGATAGCATATTCATCAAGTATATGCGTATCGGACCGAACGTCTATAAATGCTGGACATTTCCCATTTACTGTGCATGATCATTCCTTTCTGCCTTTCCTTGTAGCAGGTGATTCTTTCCTCCTTTGCTGTGGTGCGATGAGGTACAACGTCCGTCTAGCACTGGAAGGTCTGTGGTTCGAATCTCAGCAAAGGCACAATTAATAATCGCATGCCTCCTACGCTAGATAGCTTAATAAGTTCTGCTGTTGTGTCTGACTAAAATGTGGTGGATTTAATTCATCGCCATCAGGATTTTACCAACTGGATCATATTCCTCTCACCTCAGTTGCCGTTTAAATAAAAGATAATATTACTAATTATCGTCTTTTTCCATGCGAACTCTCGTAGTGTAACTGGTAACGCGTCTGGCCGGTACTCGTGAGATCCGGAGGTTGAATCTTGGCAGAGACATAGCCGAAGTCGTAGGCTGATTTTTCATGCTTTCTGCTCCAAAGCTAATGGTTCTAGAATGACATGAACCTGTAACATAAGGTAACAAGTTAAGGTTATTGTCAGGAGCCAACGACAGGCATGCGCTTTTTAGCGTTATTGAAGTTACTTCCTCTTTCCCAGCAAATACCCACACAGATTCCTAAGAAGGGAAAACTACGCGGCTAGAAGAACCAGTAGAATGGTATTATTTCATTAAATTTTTGTGCCTTGTATGTTTGTATGTTTTGTATGTTTACCTTGTTCGTGCTGTAGCCTGTAAATAAAATGCTGGCTTGTGTAACTGTATGTCTCAGTCACGTGCAGACATTACGTAAATTAACAAAGAGAGAACACACGCGTATGATAAAAATTGCACAGTTAGATTTGGAAATGAATAACTGTTCCCTAACGTAATCAATGAGGTTTAGCGCTGTCATCACAGTTTCATTAAATCAAACGAGTATTTAAACTTTATGTATAAAATCCTGTCATTATTTTATAGAGAATTAAGATTCAGGCTAGACACTTTGCTTTTGAGAAAGAACGCAACGAAAAATACGTTACCAGAAGTTAAAATTAATATGACATCGAAATTCTAATTTGTTACCTAAAATGTAATTAACGTATTTTAACTTTTCAGCTGTGGAAGTCCAGGTAATCAATTAGTTACAGAGAAGTTCCATATTCACTGGGGAAGTTACTTGGCGAGCAACAAGAACTACATCTATGCCCACATAGATGGTCGAGGGAGTGGTTTCCAAGGAGATAAGCGAGTACAGGAACTCTTTAGAAAATTAGGAAACGCAGAAGTAGAAGATCAACTTGTAGTAACAGAGTGAGTTATTCTACATTTTAAGAGTTTCCATAAAAAAACTTACGGTCTTTGGTAGCATAAAATTGGGATGGGGCAATAAACATATTCCTTTTAGCTAATAACTTTTTTAAAGTTCCTATTTTTAAAAAAAAAATAGTAACTGAAAATTGCTTGGTTAATTTTTTAAAGTGATTTGCTTTTATATTTTACTTTGCTTTTTGCCGTTTCTTGGCATCTACTTGGCTATTACACCACCAAGAATGACCACTGACTTGAATTTTCAGGGAATAAGTCTTTCAGTAAGTGTTTAGTTATCCAATTCAAAACTACCTAACACTAGCTGGACCCCTTCAAGAGAAGGGTTAGCAGATCAGAGCGCATTTTATTTTTAATTTCGAAAATATATACACTTGCATTACATAATGTTACGAAATGTCAAGGAACGGTAAGATAGCTTACCCCCAAAGCAGGTTTAGGGTTGCCACAAATGGCAAGGGAAGGCAGGGTTGCCGCATTTGGCGAGAAATCGCACATTTGGCAACAAAATTGGCGATGTGCCATAGACGGATGGAGAACCTTCTGGAACGAATTCTTAGTGGTTTAGGCCAGAATGTTCTCTAACACAAGCCAAAAGCTATATAAACCTAATCACTCATTCAACTTTAGTCACTCAGTCCGTGCGGAGTTAGTGAGAGTCCATCGAGTCGGTTAGTGAGTGCCGAGTTGGTCGTCGACTCACCGAAAGAGTCTTTTAGTGTATCAACGAGGTAGTCGAGTTTGATCTTAGAGTGTGTTGAGCTCAGGAACGACTGAACCGAGGAGTCAGGAGATGTACTCTAGTGTATCGTCGATTGCATCGCGAGTTGTAGCGTGGAGAGTCTCGAGAGTACGTAGTGTTCCGAGAACGACCGAGGAGAGTCGGGAGCTGTACTCTGGTGCTTTTCCGTGAAGTTATCTCCACCGTTATTCCCTGACAGTGTGAAGGCTGTGTCGCTGATTGTTTTAGCGTGTTTATTGTAGTTCTTCGACGACTGTAAAGCGTGATTTTGGAGCTGTCTTGAAACATACCGGCCAATAAAAGTGTGTTTCGATACTTCATCGAGTGCTGTTGTCATTATTCACTCCGAATCCGCTCAAACCCCGTAACGAAAGTACCAAAGGAAGAAAATAACGCAACAATACTATGTGAAATATTTTGCATCATTCATACATCATTGCATGTCCTAAAAATCCATGTTACATAAATTCATAATTATACTCATGATATGGAAGTCAAAAATCATCATGATACCTAAATCCATGATATTGTCCGTGATACATTATTCCATGATATTCACCCTACATAAATCCTAATCACAAATCGTGCAATAGGCTGATACATTTGTAATAAGCTGACTGGTACTTAATGCCATATTTTAATTACTTACCTAAAATAACCCCCTTCTCTAATTGGAAAAGGACTGTACTCTGTTATTTAGTTGCTTTCATTTTTACTAGAAAGCCCGGCGGTCATACGAAATGACCGCTGTTCTAGATATTATAAATTGTAATTAAAATGATTTGTGCAAAGGTATCTGCTAATTCAAACTGAATTATCCAGGGCAGGCGACAAGGACGCCCCTTTGCTTACTGCCCCACGGAGTTTCCCTTTTCTACTTGCTTAATTGCTTAAAGTAGAGTGCAGTGAAGGAAACCACTGGCGGTACATTTCTTAAGAGCCAGTTAGTTCAATAAATAAAGGTGATTTAAATAATAAAATGTTAATTCACATGTCAAAGATCTCTTTGTACGCAACATTTCTTGTGTAGATCTTTCCATCATTTTTAAGCTCGCCTTGCAAAGGACCATCCATTATTTTTAATTTTACGTCCGTTCTTTCCCGAACTCTTGAAGAGGCAACATAAAGTTGACCGTGTCCAAATGCAGGCTCAGGTAAACAAATGCCAACACGCATTTGGCCCTTATGACTTATGGATGGTCATAGCAAAGGCAAGTTTTACAGGAAATTGTCTACGTCTCAATTGAAACGGCAACCCTGTGCGGTGGCAACTGCACCCCATTGGCTAGTACAGTTACGCAAACAACCCATAATCTATCGGCGACAAACAGCCACTTAAGCCGCATATAAAAAAGATATTTATTTATTTCATTTTATTCGTTTTTTCATCGTTGCCGGTTTTTGCCGGTTGCATATTTCCGAATTCTATTTATATATAGATGTTAAATTTATTTATTAAATGTTAAATGCACGTGCTCTTGTATTTTTAATTTTTTCGGCTTAGCTTTCGCATAATATTCGTCACGCGCTGCAGTGCACGGGGAATAAAACTATTTACAGATACGAAAGCAACCAATAAACTATCGACGACAAACACTTAAGCCGCATATGTATAAGACGAACTTTCTATTTTTTAGCATAATCAATATTATCTATTGATATTTTGATAAAGTTATAACTGAATTGAATTTTTAAAAAACGTTTACATCCATAAAGATTTATAGTAGTAAATGAGCTTTTATAATACTATTTCGTATATCAATTTTATTATGTTTTGATAGACAGTCTATCTCAGCTTTGTCTGTACCCTTTTAATTAGGTCTCTTTGTTTACTTCAATTCTTAAAGTAACTTTTCCCTTAGAAAGTCCTCCACGAAGGCATCCCTCCTCTTAGGCAGATAGCCCTAGTGTGCTTTGCCATAATTAAATACACACCAAACATCTTAAAGCAACTTTTTTTAGAAGAATTTTCGATTATTTTTAGTTTATTTAGATTTTTTTAAATAATATTAAGTAACTCTCCATTCAAAATACTCATATTATACTTTTTTTTTTAATTTCCTTCTAATAGGGGGATCCGAAAGTAATGTCGTTTTTGCGCATGTCGACAACAACATGCTAAGGGCAGAAGTGGAAGCAAATCCATGTCAGACACTCTTAACCAACCTTGGTCGACCATCCAAGAACATTTAAAGCAGAATGGAAAAATAAGCAAAGCGAGTCCCCCATAATCTGTCCGAAAAGAACAAAGCCAATCTATCCATCACATGCAACGTATTGCTTCAACGGCACCATACAGAACCGTTTTGTGATCGTTTTATGAGTGGAGACAAAAAAAAAATAAGTCCTATATGATAATCCAAAACTCAAAAGGCAGTTTTAATAGGGGTTACAAAGGGTTTACATCCCGAAAAGACGCTTCTGGGTGTTTGATGAAGTATTCGCGGAATTGTTCATTTTGAATTGCTGAAACCTGGGCAAACTGTTAATGCAGACCGTTATTGTGAACAATTGGATGGAGTGAACCAATCTTTAATCGAAAAATATCAATTGTCAACAGAAAAGGCATCATTCCGCGCAACACGACACTGTAAGACCGCACTGTGCAAGACGAACACTGGAAAAAATGAATGAATTGGGGTGGGAGGTACTGCCATACTCACCCACCATACTCGGCTGATATCGCAGCATTGGATTTCCATTCATTTGGATCCCTACAACATATTCTTAGCGGCAAAAAATTTGAAAATTTGGATGATGTCGAAAATGTCCTGTCGAGATATTTTACTCAAAAACCAATTGATTTTTATCGGTCCGGGATTGAAAATCTGCACATTAGATGGCAAAAGGTTGCTGATAATGAGGGTGATTATATTATTGATTAAAAAAAAACTTGTTAAAAATGTATTCGTTTAATTTAACGTATGAAAGCGACATTACTTTCCGGTCTCCCTGTTACTTATATTAGAATTTCTAGCATAATAAGCAGGTATTTAGATATTGATGCAATTCGCACTGTATCGTCAAAATTCCTTTCTAATTTGAGATATGTCTTTTACAGTTTCTTAGTATCCAGTAGATCGTACATAGACCCAGAAAAAGTAGCACTGTGGGGATGGTCGTATGGTGGATACACAGCTGTATCTGCCCTTGCGACCGAGAATGGAGTATTTTCTTGCGGAATCTCTGTGGCCCCCATTACAAATTGGCTGTACTATGGTAAGAAATTTATAATTATTTTTATTCTATTCAGTGTTCATCTCATGTTTATAATTCATTTTTATTGCACTGAAAATTTTAGGTTATCGTGCTGAAACAAATATACAGGGTGTCCATAATTAAAGAACCCTATTTCAAAGCTGCCTCCAAGCGAAACCACTGACCATAAATAAAATTATGGTACTTTGTAGCAGACCGAAGGTATGAGAATGTCATCTAGCGAAAAAAAATTAGTTACAAATAGCGTCACCAGACGGCATTATATTAATAAATTACACATTTAGCCTTATGCTTTTTTACAAATATTGTTACAAGAAAACATGTTCCACATGATGACAATCATTTTGAACGACCATCCGAAAGCGCAAGATGGTTTGTTTCATAGTTGACCTAAGTCTGCGCTGTGAAACGTTCAACACGACTTGTGAAAACTTTAAGATATTGGTTGTGAGTTAACTTTAAGATAAGCTAAAATTATAGGATAGTCACGCCTTACTATATGTTTCAATTGCAGCTTTGAAATAGAAGAATAGCTCTTTAATTATAGACACTCTGTATATAAATATTGTTTAAGCTTTATTTATATATTAACAAGGAAAATAAACGCATTAATATTGAGTATATGTTACGGTGAAACACCGAAATCTGGAGAATGTCGACTTTCACCGGCGAATGTCGACATTCACATAGTCGCTTGGTGTATGTCCGAAATATTTTCCAAATACTCTTATTTCTGACTTACACCGGTAAATATCGACATTCACCATGTACTAATGGTGAATGTTGAATACATAAGAATATTACATTTTCTTCTCCGTAATTCGGACGCGAAACAACGCACTTTAGACTTAAAATAAGAACTTAAGAACATAAGAACTTAAAACACACTGTATATTCAAAATGAGAAAGGAAAATAATAGAAGTTAAAAACTTACTAAATTACGTTATTCAAATCTTATTTATTGCAACAACTTAAACTATTATCACACTTTGAATTGCACAAGAGGCCCTTGCTTTTACAACTGCATTTATTTCTGGAACACTTCCTTTTGCAATAACAGCGCGTACATATACTTCTCTCTTTTTGACCTACACCAGAGCATTGTGATTGTCGACATACACCGGTGAGGGTCCGAATGTACAAGAATGTAATGCAATATTCGATCTTTCACCAACGTATTTTGTGAATGTTGACATTCTCCGGTGAAAGTCGACATTCTCCAATTTCGGTCTTTCACGGTAACATATATACTTGATATTGTCGGAGTAGAGCAAGTCACGAATACTTGGAAGCATCAAGCGGTCCATGAGAAATGAGCAGAACGAGATAAATAGTGCAATATTCCAAGAAAATAAGGGAACTTTTAATTACAGGAGTTAGACAATGAAACTGAAGCACCTGCAACGAGTGTTTAATCTTTGTTAGTACGGTGCAAACTCTCTTTCGGAGGCGTAAATACCGAAGCTATTCCTTTTGGAAATACAAGCTTTATTCAGTCATTAAAATTACCTTTAGCCATTTCTCTTGTAAAAGAGTAACTAATTCACTTCGTGACAGTCAAAGAGGAAAATATTTTCTGAGTTTGTTCTTTTCCGAGTAGAAAATATCTTTGATGTTAGACCATATGATTGTACAGAACCTGAAAGATTTTCGTTTTTGTTTTTCTCAAATTGCATTGTCATCAGTTTTGGTGTGAACTGATGATAATTATCCAGATATAGTATACGTTGAATAAAAGTTCAACGACTTGGTCTATTTGGTCCATCAATACTCCTTGAAAGTGGCGTAATCATTAAGAATACTAATCAATTTTTCAAGAGATTTTTACTAAATTGTCGGCATCTCTGAAAGAAACTCTTGCATTAAGAGGTCCGTCTGCTTGGTGTAAGATCCGTCTTCTTGGCGTGATGTGTCATCCAAGATCCATTACGGACACTTAGCTGTGCAGTAATGTAACCACAGTTTCTTCAATTTAAGAAGAGATTACGTTTTATCTAATATCTTCATTCATTCTTCAGCTTCGATGATCTTGCGTTGAGAGCTTTTGCCGAGAAAGGACTTCTTGTAAATTAGGACCTATTGTTTCGTGTGATGTATTATTCTCCCATCCTTCATCCTATAGCTTCGATGAAATGTCGATGAAATCCATATAGCTTCGATGAAATGTAACCTATTAAGACATTTCAAAAAGGTAGTTTATCGAAGCTTTATTCGAAACCGTTGAAGAAGATCCCTGTAAATAATCTTCATGTCTTTTAGTGTTTAGCGTTAAGTTTTGAAACTTTTTACTCTGAGTAATTTAATGTAATTTGAACTAGATCAGTGTTTTGTTAACTGTATCTTACAAGAATCGAGTAAATTGACTCGATTCAAGTGTCAGTTTTGATTAATAATTAAGAAGCGCTCTGAAAAGAGAAAAAATAGCTGAAATGTTGAGAAAAAATGGTAAATGAGGGAAAGAAGTGATTAGTGTAGATGATCTAACTAATGTAATTGTGTTTTTGAGATTTAAAAAAATGGAGGAAAAACAAAAAATTAAAAAAGATGACCAAGATGATCGGGAATATCGGTATAGAGATAATGTGGACGTCGAGCAACTATCATGTTTTTACGTTTTGGTTTGAAGAAACTTGTTATCTTGAAGAAATAGAGATCTGAATGACCACGAAGTGGAATCGAAAATGAAGGAAATATTGGATCAAATTCGGAATAATCGTCTTCCGCAGCTGAAGAAGAGTTTCCTTTTCGTGATGTATCTTCATGCTGATTCAGGCTATGAATCAATCACTTTGTGTAATGTATTATCCGGTTACCGTTTTGGAGTATTAAACTTTGGTATGCAGTGAAGGAGCCAACCAAACGTTCTAGTGATTAGGGAAGCCTACTGCAATACAGAAGGCCCCAGGTTCAAAATACCGGAGAAGGCATGGATGTTTGTAAATGTATAGTGTCTGTGCGGCATGGGGGCACTGTAAGTATGTGTACCTCAGGTGAAGTACCTCAGAACTGGGAGGTGCGGAACTGAGCGAAGTCGTATTGTCATCTGTATGGTGCTCAAGGCTTGCTAATCACAGGCGCAGTCTTGCTCTCCTTACCACAGTGAATTTCGTGGGCTTGTCAAACAAGTGACTGTCAAACAAGTGACTGTCAAACAAGTGACTGTCAGACAAGTGACTGTCAAACAAGTGACTGTCAGACAAGTGACTGTCAAACAAGTGACTGTCAAACAAGTGAGATAAGTCACAATACACAACAACTATATATGGTAAAGTGATCATATCTGCTACGACTTAAGAAGGGACTGCGTTCCATCAATTTGCATTTCCGTTCTGAATTCGTCTTCGGTGGTTTACAACTTTTCCGCATTGTTTTTGAGAAGAAACAAGATATCCGATTACCTTTCGGACAGATAAACTTATCGGAGTGCGATGGTTTTATCATGCTTTCTGCAATTTAAGAAAACAGAGTTTCCTTGAACACTTCTCATTTTCTCCGATCATGCAGTGTAATATGTGGAAAACTTTTGGATTACTTTATACGTATGTAATTTAATTTAGTCAGCTTTTTCTTATGTGTATCTTACAAAGTGCGGGCGATAAATTCCCATATCATTTTGAATGCTTTTAATTATTACATAACATTTTCCTGAGATATATAGTATCGTACTAGATAACATCAAATTTTATCAGTTTGTATAAAATAACGATGGTTAATGTCAATTATTTGTAAACAAACTGAATAAATAAGTAACAATAAGTAATTTTAAAATGATTCATTATGAATATATGTTGTTTTGCGTTCCACCTAAAGTCAGTAAAGTTTGATTATCATTATTGAGCCTGGGTTAGTAATTATTGCATACCAACATGATCAGTAACTAAAAAATCAGGATAAATTATGCTTTTTAATTGGCTTAGTACACCGGTAAGGATTATGTTAACTTTGATAACAGTTAAATTTTGAGTTAAACTTCAACTTAGTACTTCCGGCCAGAACGTAGATTTAGATTCACGTCTGAATACATAATGAGGAAGAGCGGTATTTAAACCGCGAATTTCTTCGGTCTTAGCGACAGAGTTACCATGTATTCTGTCTGCACGCGTCCGCCTTTTTAGGCTTCTCTCTCGTAAGCTATTATTACGCTCGGCCGTACTTAGGCCCTTGATAGCTTAGCGTTAAGGGGCCAACTCGGTTAGAATCTTGATAGCTCCGGCTATATCTCTTTAGTTTCGATTAGTTTTATTTTAATTCTTAGCCTCTTAAGTTCAAGCCCAAGTGTCGGCTTTTATTGTACACTCCAAGACGGAGTTCTGTGAAATCTTATCTGAATAATAAAGGGTTATTTACCCTTCCATCTTGTTGTTTCTTGTTGCACGAACTCAAGCGATTATTCGCTTATCAGTTCTTAAGATTCTTCAAGTTCAACTGCGACTCAGCATTTACAAAGTAAGGAACTCTACACACCTTTCCTTGCACCTTGAATAATTAATAACCTTATTTTAGGTTTATAGATATTTGATACAGTCCCAAATATCCAAAGCTTTGAAATAACTTGAATTTTAACGATTTGTACAGATACCTGCATTGAAATCACTTCTTGTGTAACACAGTTACAACTACATAAGATTTCTAAATATGTTTTGTATGCCTAATGGTCCTGTAGATGATGATGCTCTGATTTATTTTTACACATATCCCTAGGGATGATTATAAAAAATGCAGGAAGCTATAACGGTTGTTATACCTTCCTGCTATAACAACCGTTATAGCTTCCTGCATTTTTTATAATCATCCAGCAGTTGGTGTTGTGTCCACCAGCTGCTGGATGGTAAAGTCGCTGAACACTGGTAATTGGTTCCGTGGTTCAAATCCTGGCAAACGAGCTGGCTGCATGGGCGTTTTCGTGATTTTCCTCGTGTATAATGTGTATACGAGCTAGTTTCCCTTAAAAAGTCCTCTACAAAGGCATCCTTTTCCCTAGGCAGATAACCCTCGAGTTGCTTTGCCATTAATCAAACAAACCAAACCATACTAATTCGAACAATGTTGTAGTTCCATTTCTCAGACTAAATAATAGTGACGAATTTATGAATAGTAATACAGAAAATAAAAGAAAATCTCTTCCTTCAGTATTGTCGGAAATATTTGTTGGACGGCATTTAAAATTCAGCAGTCACCTTAACGGAAATTTACGAGCTCTGTGTTTTGACTTCCGCTGCATACTCAATAAAACATTAACGTTTTCAAAGCGAGCAAATCTTTTCTCTTTTGTGGAGCCGTTCTTTTCTCCCGGTACAATAAAAAATGGATGTTCTATTGCTTTCGTCTGGTATTTTCCCCTTTATTTTTATTCTTTCCCAACGTAGCATTTTCACTTCATAAAATGCAGCGAGTGCCTTGAAGTTTGTTACTAAGAGTCATCTGTGTTTATATTTTTATGCGTAAGCAAAAATTTAGCTTCTAGAAACTGTGAATTCTGTCAGATATGATGTATAGAAATTTATAATCCGCTTCATGTCTCTTTGTTTATATGCAGGTGACTCGTTTATTTCAGTTGTTTGTAGTCATGTTAGTTTTAAGTTTCGTACATCGATTCTTGCAGAATGTGTAGATTGTGTAGATGTGCAGAATGTGTAGCGTCGCTTGCCAGTGTGTTACATATAGCCTAAATCAAAGCATCTGTAAACTTTAAGGATTTTATCTATGTATCTGCCTATATATATATCTATATACCTATATCTATATTTATATATAATATATATATATATATGTAATAATAAAATTCCATAGTCAAAAATACACTTAAAATTCTAACTGTATGTTCTTTTCATTTTTAATGGCGACGTTCTCTTATTTGAAAGTACGTGCAATTAAATCCACAGCCCCGTAGTCAAGCTGTTTTTCCCGCCTTTTCTACACGTACAGTTATAGAATGTTCTGGAAATATTTAAAGCGAACTGGATTGGCTGACGAAGCTGACGTCATTTTTTTGAAGCTCCGCCTTTCCAGGGGCTATAAAAGGGCTCGCAAAAGAATATCGGGGGCTTTTTTTAAATGTCACGATGCAGTAAACTTCATACAAAAAGTTATTAGTAATTCTTTTTTATTTACTCCGGAAATCTGATATTTTGTAACTGATATTTCTCCTGAATAATAATAAGTGGATCCTGTTTTTTAAACTTATCGTCTGATAATTTAAGCTACGACTACATCTATATTTCTTCAACGATCTATTTATTCTGGACAAAAGCTGATACATCATATATATATATAGAGAGAGAGAGATAATATATATATAGATAGATAGATAGTTAGATAGATAGATTGATAGATAGATAGATATATAGATATAAAATAGAGAATTATATAAATGAAAAATTATCTCCTAGGAAATGTGAAGTATACTTTAGACAGTAAATTTGTACTATTGTATATATTAATAATTGAAATTTGTAAATAATTAAACTGGTATTGTTAATTAAAATGCAAAACAAAGAACAAAAACAAGAGCATGATCGTTGATTCCCAGAAAGATCCCAACTTTTCAAGGGGAATTAGAAATTCTCCATACAATTCATGAGCAGCACGCGTCGAGATTTCGCATTTCTGAGCGAAATATTCATTCTAATTTTAAATTACCTATTCAATTTTTTAAAATCCTAATTTATATCTTAAAGATCCTCAGATAGGTGAAGTAACTCCCCGACGCGCGACTGGACACGTCCCTGGAAGTGATCTCTCTGAAAATTGAGGCAGAACTGAGCAGAAGACATGCTATCTTCTATGTAGTGTTCAAGGCTCATACCATAACACTTCAAGTATATTGTTTAATGTTGCGGGTATTACGTTTGCCGTTATTCTTATTGAAAAACCTGATAATTTCATAGTTACTTTTGCTAAAGGTTTTAACTTTAACGACTGATATTATTTGTCCTGACTGATATTATTTGAGTAAAATAATATCAGTCGGATATTTGAGTATATCCGACTGATATTACTTGAGTAAAAAAGATAAATATATTAAATCAGCACCTTTTATTGCAGATTCTGTATATTCGGAGAGATACATGCAAAGCCCAAAACCAGAAGACAACTACGTCGGTTATGAGAAGGCAGATGTTTCAATAAAGGCAGAATATGTTCGTGGAAAGAAATTTCTTCTCATACACGGAACAGCAGACGGTAAGCCAATTTTCATATTTAAAACCATACGAATTTGGTAATGGCTCATTCAATTCAAACTCGTTGAATTATTAAAATTAAAGTTTAAAAAAATTACACATAAAAGGCATTAAAATCTGAAAGAGTTCGTATTTTAATTCTCGCGCAAAAGGGCTGTTTTAATGTTTACCAGCAGACATTATCAATAGAGATGGCCCAAGGAGAAGAGCGAAACATTTTGTAGGATACTGGATGAATATGGATACAGACTAACATAGAGACATTATGTATCTTCTCTATATTTAGAAAGAAAAAATTATGTAATGTAGACGTCTCATAATTAAATGCATTTTTATTTTAAACAAATCAAATAAAAAAGTAAAATAAAAAAAATTAATGTTTTTAAGTAGATATATCATAAATTTAAGGAATTATTATTTAAAACAATCAGATTAGAAAGCAAAGAAATATAGAAATATTTAATGCTTTAATTAGATATATCATGAATTCAATTCATTTTTATTTAAACAGTCTGATTAAATGCTTTTAAATAACTTAATTTGTGTATCAGTAGCAGACGGATTAATTATGAAAGAATAATAGCTTCCTTTTACCGACTGGCAACAAACTCGGATGAAAAATGGAACAAAGTAAAATTGTATTTCGAGTCTAATAGGTTAACTGGATTACGCTGATACGTAGTAGAATGACGTTTAATATAATTCTATTTTTAATATGCGAATTTGAGTGATATGCCAAATTCATGACGCCGTTTCGTTCCAAGCTCCATGTTTACTCTTTGGCATCTTCCGCAATTTGGTAGATGCAATTTATTTAACTCAGAAATAAAAATTGACTTAAAATAATTTTACAGGGAATTCAAATATTTAAAATAAAAGTAAAAAATATTTGTTTATATAAAAAGGATAGATAGATACCATTATGAGTTTGGCCCACCAGCGGCCGAGCGGTAAAGTCGCTGAACACTGGTAGTTCGGTTCGAGGTTCGAATCTCGCGAATGGGCTGGCTGCATGGGTGTTTTCGTGGTTTTCCCCATGTGTAACGTGTATACGAGCCAGTTTTCTCTTATAAAGTCCTCCACGAAGGCATCCCTCCCCTTAGGCAGATAGCCCTAGTGTGCTTTCCATAATTAAATACACCAACCAACACCATTATGAGTTTATATTTGTATACCCTACATTGAGAGGTTTTCCAATTTATTTTAAATAATATCCATATTAGCAGCTTCTTTTCAACCTACTTCATCTAAAATCTAAAAATTTTCTATCAGCGCATATAGTAATAGCATTATTCAAGCAAACAATCTTTAAATGCATAAAGTAATAAATAACTGATTACTTATTCTTGCTGCTAGTTCTCCAGGTGTTACCATTAAATTTCGTAACATTAATCTCGCACAAGAATGAATTTAAATTATGTGCAGCTATAAATATTGCAATACCCGCTAATGACATTTTGGGAAGAAAAATACTGCCTTCTTATTATGCATGAATTCTGTTTTTAGTTAGAATTTGTGAAGCTTTAAAAATAAGTCTTATGATGGAAATACCGATGACTAAAATGAGCTATAATCTTCAACTTAGTGCTTTATAAAAATCCTTTTTTTATGAGCACATTCTCCGAAAATAATTGTCATACCACGCATTTTTACCTTTACTTAAAATACATGAAAATATAGAAATGCACTAATATTAGTTGCAAGATTCCACTCAGGCCAGTATTTCTCAGCTTAAATATTTGTAATGCCAGAAGCTAACTATATATATATAGTTAGCTTCTGGCATATATGGAACTATATATATAGTTAGTTAGTTTTTGCTTATGTGGTTCTGCTATGTATATAATAGTTCCATGTATATATATATGTTACGGTGAAACACCGAAATCTGGAGAATGTCGACTTTCACGGTGAATGTCAACATTCACATAGTCTCTTGGTGTATGTCCGAAATATTTTCCAAATACTCTTATTTCTGACTTACACCGGTCAATGTCGACATGTACATGGTGAATGGTGTTAGTACATGGTGAATGTTGAACATGTAACAATATTATATTTTCTTCTCCGTAATTCAGTCGCGAATAAACGCACTTGAGACTTGAAATAAGAACTTAAGAACATGAGAACCTAAAACACACAATACATTCAAAATGAGAAAGGAAAATAATAAAAGTTAAAAACTAAAAACTTACTTAATTATACAGTACGTTCTAAATGAGAAAATAAAATAACACTCATAAAAAACTTACTAAATTATGTGATTCAAATCTTATTTATTGCAACAACTTAAACTATTATGGCACTTTATGACCTCTCTTTTCGACTTTCACCAGAGCATATCTGTGATTGTCGACATACACCGGTGAGGGTCCGAATATACAAGAATGTAGTGAAATATTCTCTTTTCCACCGACGTATTTGGTGAATGTTGATATTCTCCGGTGAAAGTCGACATTCTCCAATTTCGGTCTTTCACGGTAACATATATATATTGCACATTTCCATATATATATATATATATATATATATATATATATATATATATTGCACATTACGTCGAATTTCTGAAAAACTAATGGACAAATTTTAATGAAATTTCATATGGATATGCATTTATAACAGAAAAAGAGATGTGCCATTTTATGTAAGCATGAGTATTATGAAGTTCATAGTGCAAGGATGTCCAAAATCCATATGGTGATATCGAACTAAAAATAAATCTTATATGGAGTGTGGTCCCTTCTCACAGACAGACAGGTAGCACAGCGTTACGCCATACTGAACAGAAATCAGTTGAGGTGTTTCTGCGACAGTCGATCCCACTTCTGCAGCAAGGCAGTTTCAACTCCGGAATGGTTTTTCAAATAGGGATGGCGAGATAAAATTGACCTCCAAGTGACATCCTAGACATGCTGTATTGGGTTAAGGTCAGGAAATCTACCTAGGCAAACCATTCAACGAATATTCTTACCTTCCAGGTAATCGTCGACCAGTTGAGTCCTGTGTGGACAAGCGTTGTTGTCGATTAACGGGAACCATCACCAAATGCGCGCTTGAAAAATCGAACGTAGGGCTTTAAAATCTCTTCTCTGTACCTCATAGAAGTCAGCTTGCCTTTGTCAGACACATGCAGGGCTGTGCCACCTTCCAACATAACGCTTGCCAAAACAAACTATTATATCTCCACCATCGTCATGGACTGAACTTCTAAAGTCTGGTCCAAGACGCGTATTGTCTTTTGTACTACAATGTGCGGGTCTTCTGGCAAACAGCTCTATCCCATGAAGCCTTCGGGTAACTGTAAACTATAAAACTTGGATTCCAGTGGCAGGATACACTTCTCGTGAGAGCTGTGAAGCTGTAGCAGGCCTTTGTCGCCACGCTGAAAGTGCCAAATAACCAATTTCATTCGTCATTGTGGATTTTGATCGAACTTGTTCATGTCATATGGACTAGTATCCTGAGTGTTCCCACAAATTGCAGACGACAATGGGCAATACACTGAGCTCTGTATCCATTTGCGCTTGTGGTGGGCTTGCCTCTAAGCTACCGACAATTCTCCATCTCATTCTGTCATCCATACATTCTTGGCTACTAATTTTATCTGATACCTCGCAAAATTTACCCAACTTTTGCTAGAAACATGGCGAATTTCGTGAAGGAGTAGGAGCAAACAAATCGCCCAAAACCTTTCGTTCGCTTTATCCCCTCCTACCCCCCCCGGGGGTCGACGTAGAGAACTCTGCGAAGCTACTGGCTAGGATCTGTACCTAGGCAGTCTCGGCCACGGGGGTATAAAATGTATGAAGTTGGTGGTTCTGAAGGCCTCTGGGAAAGGTCAATCATTGGCCGGCCTCGGGAGTCTGGCATGTCCGGAGCGGTACGGCTCGTGGTAGCTAGTAACCCGTGGTGACAGCCCCCCGGGTTTCGCTGGTAATGTCCCACTGCGACGGGCTCGCCCGAGCGACTGGCAGGAGCATTAGACGACCGGTGCTGCCTGGTGTCATATCCAGGTGGTGCGCGGCTCTACTGGAGGGTAATAGTGGAGGTTGAACCTCCACGACGTGCCCAAAGGTAGAGTCGACCTGTAGTGAGATTGAGTTACTCGGAACAGGGAAGCCGAAACGCCATAGTTATCCCCTCCAAAAGCATTTCAACCTTGCACGTGTACCCTAACGTATTCGACTTTGAACATTTGCGTAATATTTTGGCGGCATAATTAGTACCTTTGGTTCAATACTTTAAGCAAAAATTGGTATAATTTGCAGATGCTCTGGATTTTGCACTCGAGTGTAGTTCTGGCTGTTACTTGGGAGGGAGAAAATTTATATTCGATCTTTTCTGAGATTACCTTCGATAGAATATCATATAAGTTATATTTTAAATGAAATTTATGCCCTGGAAGCTATATCAAAGGTTTTAAAAAAATATAAATGGAATGTTTTCAATTCCTGAATAAATTCAATATAATTAATGTAGATACATTTTCGGAGAAAATTGGAAGTTTGTCAGAATGCTGTTATATTAAATTAGTTTTCTCATTACAAAGAATTTTTAGTTGAAAAATATGCTACGCGGTTGTTTTACACTGGCAAGCGCAAGATAGAATACCAGTTTAAATTTCAATGACTGGGCGAAATAGTATTATCCTTAATTTGATTCAAATTAAAATATATATATTGCTTTTCAAGAGAAAATTTCTTGAAGTGTTTTAAGACTTCTAAAGAGGAGACACTTTTCTTTGTGAAATCAAAAATAATTGTTCATTTGTGTAACTGTTACTTTTCAAATAACTGCAAATTTGTGCATAAATGTGCATACACTTTATGTTTAATCTCATAATTAAATGAGTAAACTATTTTTACGTAAATAATACCGAATTTTTCTTTTCTTTCCCAAATATGTTTTCATGATGTCCTACCAGTCTCAAAAATTTTCTTTATCATCTTTACCTCGTAATCACATTTTGTAATTTTTAAATTGAACCTAGCAAAACGGCTAGCTTAGTAAACGATGATCATTTGTAGCTTGTTACTTTAGTAACTTCATTTTCCACCAACCGATTTGACTGGTAACTATGGGAACAACAGCCATCGGAAAAAATGTCGAGTCGCTTGATTTTTTCCCCACTTCATTTCCATGTTGAGGTCTTCGTTTCATGAAAAGCGCTCGAATGAAGGCTGACATGAACAGCTATAGTCTCAAATGAGGTGGAGAAAATAAATGTTGTCCGGTGAGGACGACACGAGTTACAGTTGAAGAAGGGGGCTAGCAACGATCTTGAAGTTCCCATTTTAAAGCAACAGACTAATAATTGTAATACGTATGAAAGAGGCCAAGATAAGCTCCACAGAACTGAAACTTGGTTTTGGCTATGAATCTATAAAATAAAATCTGTAATAAATAACGCACTTTAAAAATCAAAAAATTATTACTTATTAAAGCATAATTTTAGTTGAGGAAACTAAATATGACATGGATATGAATTTGACCCTGGCGGTCAGAATAAAAATTCTACTTAATATAAAATAATGTTATAACAATAATTGTAAACTGAAATATAAATGCTCTTACCTATTTAATGTACGTCTGCCTAAAACATTGATGCTCGTCAGTTCTTCGCTAAACACTGGTATCTACTTCCGGGGTTCGAATTCCGGCGAACGGGCTGGCTGTATAGGCGTTTTCGGGGTTCTTCCCGTATGTAAAGTGTATACGAACCATCTTCCCTTAGAATGTTCTCCGCGAAGGCATTCCTCCTCTTTGGCAGATAGTCCTCGAGTGTTTTGCTGTAATTAAGTAAACCAAACATATCATTATTCTTTACCAAATATATCCAAACATTTCATTATTAAAATATGTTACCAAACATATCATTATTATAATTCTTTTATTGATGTGTGAATCTATACAAACTTAATATCCGTGGAATTTGGATAAAGACAGTTCTTTAAGCTAAGATTCGAAGATAAAGCAATAAAGCTTGATTGAAATTGTATTACAAACATCTCTACTAATCTTATTTATTTTTTCCTCCCACTACCAGGACCCACAAGTGTCCAAACGGTAAAGTCGCTGAAGTTCTGACATTGGTAGTTCGATCAAGGGGTCCAATCCCGGCGAATACGGTAACCGCATGGGCGTTTTCGAGGTTTTTCAGATGTGTAACGTGTATAAGAGCCAGTTCCCATTAGAATGACCTTCACTAAAGCATCCTTTCCCCTAGGCAATAGCTTCAATTGCTTTTCCGTAATTAAGTGAACGAAATAAAATCTCCTACTGGCACTAATAATAGATTTTCTCTGCGACTGTCTATTAACTCAAATCATATTAATAGCAATTAATAGTAAATTTATTTTAGAAAAAAAAGAAATTTAATTCTGACGGATTTCCTTTAATAAAATATATCATTCTGAGGTTTATGTAGTTTATTATAAATGTAAAGAGATGGAATATGAGATAAATATGCCGTGTTTTAAAATGAACACAGTTTCATTTTTAATCGATGTGTATGTGTATGTGATTATGGCAAAGCCTCGAGGGCTATCTGCCTAAAGGGAGGGATGCCTTTCGTGGAGGACTTTCTAAGGGAAACTGGCTCGTATACACGTTACACATGGGGAAAACCACGAAAACGCCCATGCAGCCAGCCCGTTCGCGGGATTCGAACCTCGGACCGAACTACCAGTGTTCAGCGACTTTACCGCTCGGCCGCTGGTGGGCCATTTTTAATTGAAATTATTTGACTGTCTTAGGCTTTCGGATGCAATCATAAATTATGCAACAGTACATTTAAATATTAAACTTGCTCTATCATAAATATATAAAATGCAAAGACGAGGGTGCGTCAAATGAAGAGACAGAGTTTCTGCTTTTTCTAGGGTAATGATGAAAATTTTAAATGCTTTTATTCTGCAGATTTTATTTCAAGACTTTTCATAACTGATTTAAATTTACTTCTTTTCCTGATTTAGATGATGTTCATCTGCAACATTCTATGATGCTTATTAAAGCACTTACCAATGCAGGAGTGTTATTTAGAACGCAGGTGAGTACAAAAGAATTTGATGTACCTAGTTTCGTAGAAGTATATTTTCTAACCATTATAAAGCCATTACGTGATCAATTCCAAAACCTAGCAAATTTTTAAAAAGTAATCTATGTTTAATTTTTATATTTACATGTAAACTGCGCAAAAAAAAAAAAAAAAAAAAGAGGGGGGGGTTAGTTTTATATCTCTCGTTCTATTGGGCCGATTGACGAAATTCAACTTGCGTTTTTCCTGTCTCGAAGCGCGACTTAGGATATGTATTAGATTTATATATACCATTGTCCTAATATAGGTATTTTGACACAAAATTGGACTTTTTCTGAATGACGTGCCACTTTTCAAATTTTGAAATTTAAGTTCATTCCGAATAAAATTCGCTCATTTTTTATGATTTATTTTCAAAATTTCTATTTTTAAATAATTTTTATAAATTTTTACGAAAAGCATTTTGAATTATAATCTATAAAAATTTTACCGTCATCTTAAAGTAAATTATTTCTAAGCATATCTGCAAAATATTACAATTTTTTATTCAAAATTTCCGAAGATATACGTGAATCTATATATATTGGCGCGTTTTGAAATTTGGCATATTTGTTGAAAGCGATAAAACATCAAATGTGGCTTAGACACTTTGTTAAAATTATTTGAAAGTATGAACGCTGTGACTTTTTTCCCGCTCATGCACAATGTAAAAAGGTAGAAACGAGGTGCCTTTTTTTTCCGTTCCGCTCCGGCGCAATGAAAGGATAAGGAAAATAGGTTGCTACATATCTAGAAGTTCGCCAAGTGAATTATTCTGGGCGCAAAATGAAAAAAAAAATACCCAAGATAAATTTTTGAACCAAGATACCGCCAAGATAAATTTTTGAATTTTTTCGTAAATTTCGCACCAAATTTTACAAAATTTAATATCTAAGCATAATTTGAGTCGTAGAATCGAAATATGGAAAACAATTGGTATGTTATTTCAGAATAAAGTTCGATTTTGTGTCCAAAATACCTATGTTAGAACAATGCTATATATAAATCTAATATATATCCTAAGTCACGTTTTCGAAACTTGAAAAACGCAATTTAAATTTCGTCAATCAGCCCAATAGAACGGGAGATACACAACTGTCTTTTTTTTTTTCGCAGTGTACATGATTTTATCAGAAATTTTTAAAAATTGTCTCTGATAAATTGCGATAGCAGGAGCCTTTAACCAATTTTTTTTAGCAGCAAAAAAAAATTTTCCTGTATCTTATGTTCTGAAATACAGTGACTGTTCTCACACCTTTTAAGCACTTTTACTTTGCGTAAAAAAGTCTTCTGGTTGGAATTAATTTAACTGCAGCTATATTTTTAAAAGCACAAATTATCGTCTTCTTCTTAACAGTTTTGTTATCATGCAAAATGCCGCTATTAAAGAAGCAATGTATGCAAGGCCATGTTTGTGCTAATTCCAAAGAAAATTATTGGTAAACGGAATGTTTCGAATTTTACAAAAGTAAGGTCTTTAATATTGAAAGAACATCTGCCAAGTAAAACGACAGTTGCAAAATCATTAAAATGCTCAGTATCAACTGTAAACAAAGTGATTGATGTTGATTTGAATCTCAAAAAGGCGACAAAATATAACGGGCAGCGTCTTTGTCCACGATACATCGCCGAAAGCAGAACTCGCTGCAGAATTCTTTATGAGAAACAATGGGACAAAAATGGAAAAATGTTGTCACAATAAACGGATCTTGGGTGTCTTTAAATGGCTGCAATAAAAAGAGATCCATTTATTATCATCATCAAAGGGGAGAAAAAATCTTAAAACTTGGTTCAAGGGATCTAAAGAATGTTTTTCTAAAACATTTATAGTTGTTGATGATTTTTCATATAACGGCAAAGCTAAAATAAAGAGAGTTAAGAAAAATGTTAAGATCATTATCAAAAACATATTTTATACCCAGTTTTCAAATATGAAATACCGTCTCTTTACACACAGTGCGATCAATGAGTAGAACTGTATCAAGACAATGCAAGCAGCCACCCGTTAAAAATCTACTGTTAATTTTCAGGGAAAAACAATAGAACAAATTTCAAGGCCATACTCTTCATTTATATCCATACTAAATCTCCTGATCTGTCACCAAAGTATATTTGCACTTTTGAAATTTTAAAAGGCGGGATGTCCGAACGTCCACCTACAACAACCACTTTTAGACATAGAAAAGCTGTGCGGGAGAAGAGGGTTAAAATACTCTCCTGATACTAAAAAATCTGATGTGTACACCACATGACTTCCTTGTACGGAATATTAAATTATACTCATTTTTTCTTGCATTTCATTTAAACTTATTGGATTGAATTAAATCTACTTCGACGATAGTGCATAAACCACATTAGAATAAATGCGCTTTTTAAAATTTACTATATTTATTTACCATAGCGATACTCTGGAGCTAGGTTAAATTAACAGCTTTAGATCCCATTCATTTTATAACTCAGAATGCAAAAAAATATTATATCATTTGAAGAATTACCTAATCGTTGCCACATGTTCTATTTAAATGCTATAATAAATCTAAAACCATGTATAAAGAAATTAAGCAAACAAGCAAAAAAACAGTTTTCACAGACATGAGTTTTCTCATTCAATTATTCAGTTCTCACTTCGCGACAAGGAAAAATATAAAATTTAATATGATTAAAATACTAATTATTAAAATTACGTAAATCTAAACGCATTTTCCTCAAAAGTTCCAGAATGATTCGGCATGCTTAATAGCAATAATGAAGTCGTTATCTTTGTTTATTTCAACTACTTTCTCTAGATTGCAACATTCACTGTACTCTACTCACTTTTACTCAAAGTAACAACACAGTCGCCAGCAAAAACTTATTGGCTAGCGGCACTGAACCAACTTTAAAATTGTGAAATTCTAAAAATTGCATGCAGATTACTAAAGGTATAAACACCTTAACCGGAATGTAAGAACACATATCACATTTTTAAAGCAAAAATGTACACTTTAAAACATAAGAGTAAAGAAACTGATCAGATCCGGGTAACAGAGTGATATATATCTAAAATACTTATATGTTTTCAGGCCGATTGAACCAAATACGAGGTGCGCATTATGTTACAGTAGTCCTATATACAAATTTCAACGTCTGAGGCTACTCGTTCTATATCGGATACGTACGTACATACGTTCGTACAGACGCACTAAAAATGCTCTGCAGAATTAATTTAAAGCATTTTAATATTTTTGGAGGAAACGAGTCTTTATTCTGTCCTTATACAGATATCACGCAAAAACATCGTTCAATTGCATTCGATAGCCGTCAAAATGAATATTTTCGTTGAAATATGCTGCCTGAAACTTTTCGCCGTTACAATACTTCCTTTGGCTTTATTGTTTTGAAAATTACGGTGTATTGAAAGTTACAGTGTCTGAAAAATTGTGATGTATTTACTTCATGGTGAACAATAAGAGTTATCCAACACAGCATTTAAAATATAAAAAGTTGAAGTAAAATATTGTAATTACAATGAAAGTCGAATAGCCTGTGTAATTTTCGAAGCCTAGCAATTTTTTTGTAAAAAGTGATCAATTTTTAGTTTTTATATTTACATATATATAATTTTATCAGAAATTTTTGAAAAATACTTCTGATATATTTTGATAGAAGCTCGTTTTGGATTCTTTTGATGACAAACAGATTTTTCCTGTATCATATACTCTGCGATACTTTTCGTCATAACATCCGCTCTTTTCGGATTCTTCCTTCTCGTAATTCTTCGTTAGTTGCAGACGAACATTTCCAAATTGTGTTTACAGCAACGCTAACTTGTATAGCTTCTTAATGCCATATATCAGTACTGATAAAAGTCAGATTCTTTTTACAACGGGCACATCTGTGGACCCTTTGCTTAATCTGGCACTTCTCCAAACAGTTTTCGCCACAATAATCTCTTTCCGAAATCCATTTGGAATCATAACTTGACATCTTCCAATCCTTTTTTGTTGTCTGCAATCTATCATGTCTCGTTTCTGTTGCTCCAATATTTATCATACTTTGTTATGAATAAACGCTCTTCCTAGGTCCATCTTCTAGTAAGATACTCTTCCAAGATTTTGGTGTATGACGAACTTCCTACGTCATACATTTGTGTAGGATTTCTACATCGTAAGTGATCGATCTAAGTGACTTTCTTTTTGCTAAATTTACTCATTTCCGAAAAATAAGTTTTTAATTTTCCCAGTCATAGTAGGGCATTTCTAATACATTTTCTAGAAGTACTTTCATTGTAGTATGAAACTAAAAGTCCACTTTTACTTCGTTCGCTCCATTGCAAAATCCTTCTTTATGACGAAAATATTGAAGGCTGAGTTTTTTTCTGGTTATGATCACTTTTCAAAAGATACTTCTAAACAAGCAGGTTTTCTGTAAAAGAAATATCTTTGTAAATTCTTTTAAGCAAAACGTTTCTTTTAGGGACATTTTTTGCCCAAATTCTCTTTCAAAATACGTATGTGTTATATTTAGAAATACTTAGAAATACACAGATATTATTAGAAAATACTTTTACTTTTTTTAAGTGAAGGTATTGCGTATTTTTATTTCATTTTACGAAGTAAGGGAAGTATTGTAATCACGAAAAATTCCGAGTGTCATATTTCAACGAAAATATCCATTTGACCGCTATCGAACGCAATTTAACGATGTTTTTGCGGGACATCTGTACGTAAGGACAGAATAAAGGACTTTTCTTCCTCAAAAGGATTATAAAATTAATTTAAAAATGGATCCAGAAGATATTTTTTCGTAATGTGTGTGCGTACGTACTGTATGTATGTAATTCGCATAACTCCAAAACGAGTAGCCTTAGAACGTTGAAATTTTGTGTATAGGACTGCTATCAATACGCAGTTGTAATACGTAGCAATCCAGAAACTTTTGTAGAAAATGTATTAGCAGAGCCACCTGGCTGATATGCTAACTGCCCCAATGGATCGGCTGTCCCGCATTCGGTAGGGGGAAAAAGGTAGCAATAAATTGTTGGTATAGAATCCACAACTTTCAATTTTTCCGAAACAAAATTATTGCCTGCACAAATTCGTTCAGTTTAGATTTCTTAGA